CAAGTTTAAAATAACACGTGGTACCATGTGAGATGTATTGATCTCGATATGCTTAGCATTAAATTAACACTGGCAACGTTCCGCTCAGATGAAACGTTTAGTATATTCAGTAAGGATACAGAAACACATTACAGATAATTTAAAAGCGTTTAAATCTGTTTCTTTTCACATTTTGAAATCTGTTTGTAAACATAAAAAAAAACATTTGTGATTGGGGAGAAAAAAAATACTCAAAAGGTGAAGTAATGTTGTTTGTGATCTGCAAAGGATGGGTTAAATTTTGTTTTTGAGAAATCTATCAACAATTTTAACTTAAATGGATTCTAAAGAAATGAAACGCTAAAGGTTATTTTTCACGTTCAGCACCATGGGTGTGGGCAGACAGGGCAGTGTGTAGTAGGCTATAAACAAACACGATTTAAAAATGAGCTTTGTCTCGTAAATCGAAAACGATCTTTTTATTTAAATGTTATATTCAGCAATGTTATTGATTAAATATAGGCTACAGACAATCTCTTCCACCATGAATGCATTGAGCTATAATATGTTTACAAAATCAGTTTAACTCATCAGAAGTTACTATAACGGCAACAATTCATTTTATTTATAGGTGCCTTACATGACACTCAAAGACACCTTATAGGCAGTAAAATAAAATAAAATAAAATTGCAGGCAGAAAATGCAACGCCCATAATAATTTTTTTTTTCAAAGTTTTACAGCCATTAAAAGATACATATACACTATCAGTGTTGGGGAAAGTTACTTTTAAAAGTAATGCATTACAATATTGCGTTATTTGCGTCATATTCTGAGTTGCATTATTTTTATTCATTTTGAGGAATACTGAATATGTGTTTAGTTTTTTTTTGTGAGTGAGATGAATTAATGCATATTCATATTTATTTTAGAACTACAATAACATCTGATTTCTCTCAACATGGGGACAGGAGAGCTGTCAGTCAATAAATTGGAAAAAAAAAGTAACTTGCGTTACTTATTTGAAAAAGTAACTCAGATATTCTCTTGTAAATTAAAAAGTAATGCGTTACTTTACTAGTTACTTGAAAAAAGTAATCTGATTACTTAACTCGCATTACTTGTAATGCGTTACCCCCAACACTGTACACTATCAACGGTATACCTGCTCAAAATATAAGTTTTTAGCCGTGATTTGTCCTGAGGAGCAGCATAGCTAAAAGCTCGAGATCCCATGTTAGTCATATGCATGCCTGGAAGAACTAAACAAAAAGAAGGACATACGTGTTTGTATTGCATTTCATTTATTTTTCTATCAATTTCTTTAATACAGTTTCTGTGCCATGTAAAATACAGATATTAAGATTTGAATAGTGAACCAAATCATGTCACGCAAACGTATCATGAATCCGACAGAACATGTCATGTAATTTGTAGACTGTCCCTTGGAGACGCGCTGACGTCATCACCAGCCATAGAGAGCAATGTTTTATCCCGCAGTTGAAAGACAACGACTCTAAAAGAAAATACAGTTGTAGATAGTTATACATGGTAGTAATTATAATAATCTCATACGAACCTTTTTGCACAGACGGTAAGGAAGTTATTGAAATCATAACTTCGAATATGTGAATATGAAACCAACTTTACCGCAGTAGCTTTCGGACGCAGCTGCAGCGATCTTCTGAGGAGAGGTGAGCAGTTCACGGTATTTCTCTTATTTAAACAACTGTAAAACACACTTTACACAGTATGTTTGCATAGGGTGACCATAAGTGCCATTTTCCCAGGACGCATCCTGGCCAGAATTTCTATATTGCCTAAAATATCTAGGTTTTGGCTTTGTGTGCGTGTGCAGACCGATCGGTGTATGACATTATGCACACGCAAACAAAGCCAAAACCTAGATATTTTAGGCAATATAGAAATCCTGGCCAGGACGCGTCCTGGGAAAATGGCACGTATGGTCACCCTATGTTTGCAACAATAAACGAGGTCGTTTCTGTCTTGTTTTCATCGAGTAAGTTATTTGTGTGTTTTCTCAAGACATTTAGAGCAGTAAGTAGGTCTATGTGAGGAAAACCGATATAAAGTTGGTTCGACGTTTGAGGTTGGTATGTTTGCGGCCCCTTTAAATAAAGACCGATCGTGGAGCGTCTACAGGGCAGCCAGAGCCAATTTTGACGCTCTCGCCGCCGGTGGTCAGCGTTGTGGGTAGCGCGGCCAGAGCGATCTTTTGACGCTCTCGCCGCCGGCGGTGTGAACGCACAGTTAAGGTATTGTAACTGATAGACCGTATAATGTAAAAGTTCAGGATAGGGACCGTCTGCAAAGTGTAAAACGAAGAGCAAGGAGCACAATTATTCCATCTAAATGCTTCACTTGTGAAATGTATAAAAAAAATACATCTCAAATCTAAGGGCTGTACTTATTAATGGTTCATAAAATAACATTTAGATGTTGGTTTTATTCACAGAACTATAGCACAACAAAAGTTATTGAAATGGAACGATTGAGAAAAAGCTTGCAAAGCATTACAAAGATTGTGCAGTTTACCGCCACCTAGAGGAAGATGTTGCACTTGTTTTGACCAAGTTTGACATTCAGAAATTTAAATAACTTAATTTAGAATGCACAGTTTGATATCTAAACTTCAAGGGGTGTGTTTTGTTACTTGTTCAAAGAACGATATTTACGGCCATCTTTTACTATCATATGCAAATCAGGAAGCACGCTATTGAATTAAAGTTGAATCTGTTAGCACATTCATTTTTAAAACGTACAGTATTCCATCTCAATTTCAAAGGTTGTGTCTTGTTACTTGTTACTTGTTCATAGACGAACATTTAAATGTTGGTTTTATTCACAAAACTATAACACAGCACATGATATTGAAATGTCAACGAATACATAAGGTAAATACGCTCTTCTATCTTAACTTCAAAGGGTGTTTCTTGTTAGTGGTTCCTAAACAAACATGTATATGTTGGTTTTATTCACAGAACTATAAGACAACACATGATATTAAAATGTGAACAAATACATCAATTAATTTCCTATAAATGTACTCTTCTATCTCAATTTCTAAGGGTGTGTCTTGATCCTTGTTCCTAAAAGAATATTTCAATGTTGATGTTATTCACATAACTATAAGACGAAAAAACGTATTGAAATGTAAAAATTGAGAAAAAGCTTATTAAGATGTGCAGTACACCGCCTCCTAGAGGAACACATTGCAGTTGCTTTGACTGAGTTTAAAATTCAGAAATGTGAATAAATTAATTTAAAATACAGTCTGACATTTCAACCTCAAAGGGTGTGTCTTGTTGCTGGTTCATACAACCACATTTCTATGTATATTTTACATTCATAAGACAAATTTGACACACGCTATTGAATCATATTCAAACCTATTAACATATCATTTTTGTAAACATACAGCATTTTATCTCATCTTCAAAGGCAGTGTCTTGTTACTGGTTCATAGAATAACAGTTAGACATCGGTTGAATTTGCAGAACTATAACACACCACATGCTATTGGAATGTAAACACATACGTCAATTAATAAAAATACAAATACTCTTTTATTTCAGCTTTATGGGGTGAGTCTTGTAATTGTTTCCTATAATGACATTTAGATGTTGGTTTTCTTCACAAAAGTGTAACACAACAAAAACTATTGAATTGTAAAAACTGAGAAAGAGCTCTGGAAGCTTCCTGAAGAGTGTGCAATACACCGCCCCCTAGAGGAATACACTGCAGTTGCTTCGACTGAGTTTGATATTCAGAAATGTGAATAAATAAATAAAAACTGACATGTCAACTAAAGGGCGTGTCTTGTTACTGGTTCATAGAACAACATTTACATGCTGGTCTCATGCACAGAACTATAACACAACGCACGATATTGAAATGGCAACAAATACATCTATTCATTTCTAATAAATACGCTCTTCTGTCCCAATTCTAAGGGTTGTGTCTTGTTACTGGTTCATGGAACAACATTTGCATGCTGTTTTTATTCGCGAAACTGCAACACAACAAAAGCTATTGAAATGTAAGGATTGAGCAAAAAGCTCACGAAGTCTTTAACAGATTTTGCAGTACACTGCCCCCTATAGGAACATGTTGCATTTGTTAAGACATTCAAACTTTTATAAATTAATTAAAAATGCAATAGTTTTCCATCTCAACTTCAAAAGGTGTGTCTTGTTAATTGGGCCAAAAAGAGGTTTTACTCTCATTTGTAATTCAGCATACATGCTATTGAATTAAATTAAAATCTGCAATAAAATAATTTAAAATGCATGCAGTTTTCTTTCTCAAATCTTGAAACTGATTCCTAGAAGAACATTTTGATGGTGGTTTTAGTCACAGAACTATAATAGAACACATTATAGACATTTAAACCAATACACAATTTAATTTTAAATAAATACAATATTCTACCTCAGCTTCAAAGGCTGTGTCTTGTTACAGATTTCTCAAAGAACATTTTCCAGTTGTTTTCGTTGTCAAAAGAGATGCAGAAGTCAGTGACATTCAAGAATAGCTTGCAAAACCTTCCAAAGAGTCTCCAGTATTACTGCCACCTAGAGGAAGATACTGCAGTAGTTTGGGCTGAGTTTGACATTCAAACCTTTAATAAATTAATTTAAAATCAATACAGTCTTCTATTTCAACTTCAAAGGGTGTGTCTTGTTTCTGATTCCTAAATTAACATTTCAATTAAGGTTTTACTCTAATATGTGATTCAGTCCCTTATTTGTGCAGTTCTACTGTCCATTATTCTTCAGAAAAACTCTCCAGGTCTCACAGACTCTGGGTAAATTTGACATCTGGGTTTCTTCTTTCTGGGCTTAAATTAACATTTCAATTAAGGTTTTACTCTAATATGTAATTCAGTCCCTTATTTGTCCTGAGCAGTTCTACTGTCCATTATTCTTCAGAAAAACTCTCCAGGTCTCACAGACTCTGGGTAAATTTGACATCTGGGTTTCTTCTGAAGCTTCTGGCATAATTTAGCTATTGTTTTGTCTTGTGGACTATATGTAAACATCTTTGATGCAAAATATCTTACTCAGGACAGTACTAAAAAAATTACATGCATTTTGTGTGATCCCTCTTACAAAACATTTTTTTACACAAACATACACACAAAAAAACTAAATGGACCCTTTGAAAAATAGCTCGAAAATTGAATTTTTTAACTAATTGATGTATTGATTAATCAGCTTAATAAACAGTTTAATTGGCTATTCAGTTTCAATTGAATGTTTTCTCTCATATTTCTGTGACTAAAACCAACATTAAAATATTCTTCTAGAAACCAGTAACAAGACACATATTTTGAAGTTGAAATAGAAGACTGTATTGATTTTAAATGATTTTTAAAGGTTTGAATTTAAAACTCAGTCAAAACGACTGCAGTATCTTCCTCTATGGGGTCAGTAATACTGGAGACTCTTTGGAAGGTTTGGCTAGTGAATTTTGAGTGTCAATAGCGTGACTTCTGCATCTCTTTTGACAATGAAAACGACTGCAAAATGTTCTTTAAGAAGTCTGTAACAAGACCCAGCCTTTGAAACTGAGGTAGAAGATTGTATTTATTTTAAACTAAATTATGTATTGGTTTAACTTTCTATAGTATGTGTTATATTATAGTTCTGTGGCTTAAACCCCCATCAAAATGTTTATCTAATCTGTAACATCTGTAACCCATTGAAGTTGTGTAATAAAAATGTGTGTTTTAAATTAATTTATTTATTGATTTAAATTTCAATAAAAAAGTGTGTTTTTTGGTTTCAAACTTCTGTGAAAACAACAAGCATTAAAATGTTCTCACAAGGACCTGGAATAAGCCTACTGCATAACCACTGAATTATGTAATGATAATGATTTTTAATATTATTTTTATTTTATTAATATATTTATTAATAGTAATAATATAATAATAACCACTATCACATCTTGTTTACAATATTTCTTATTTAAATTCAAGTGAGCATTATAAGTCTTTGTCTTTATATCTTTCAAAGAGCTTGGTGCACTATTTGCTCTTGTTTTGTTAATCGTGAAAAACATTCCGGTGGGAAAACATTCATCGTTTTATCCTTTACATGTACTTTGTAGACGGTCCCTAGCTGGCTTAAGCGCTACCCAGTCAGCAAATTTCCTTTGGCGTGGATCTGGCCCATATGAACAGCTAAAGTGTGGCCCAGATTAGTTTGTGTTCGCCGGCCCAAAACTGGTCCACATCTTTTTAGCCAGAACTGAACCTAAACAGTGCCATAACCCAACCCAGAGTGAGCCAAATAATAAAAACAGATGTGGCTGATATATGGACCTTATATGGTATTGTTATATGGCTGAGTTCTGTAAAGGGCTGACGGCCCTTATGTGGCCCACATGTGGCTGATAAACCAAATGCCATTATTTAACCATATTTACACCACACCTATTTTTTTATTTAAATACCCATTACACAGTATATCTTAAACACGAAATGAATTCACACTCATGTGAATTGTATAATTTTAAAAACAGAATTACAATACAGAACATAATAGAAGTGTGCTATTTTGCAAATGTCAGATGAGTGAATAAATGTACAAAAATTTATACTTTTAGTAAGTCTCGCCAGTCTTTCTCACTCACAGTCTGTCAGGAAAAAGAAGAGAAAAAAAGAACATTAGTATATCATAATTAGTATCACACAGATATTATTTCAAGACAAGCACATAAATGAGTGTAAATCAGCACTGCACACATTCTTTTCTACAAGACATGAGTGCCTTTTTAAATTAGGCATAATTTCATAGTTTTTTAGACATAATACTTAATTCTATACATAATATTAATGAAAACATTAGTGGTGTAATTGTACCTCAGTTTTGAAGTCACAGCTTCATACATTTTTGGGACAGCAGGGGGAGGAAACATACAATTGCTTCTTTTTTAAATAAACAGTGGTTTACTGAACAATTTAGTAACAATTATGGCTCTGCCTTTAAATAAACTCAATTATAATTAAAATTTTCTTAAAGATAAAAAAAAATCTATCATAGCTACATTTATTCGATTGCATTTCTGAACTGTTTGCACGAGTGGGCTGATTTTGGGATGATGGCGTTGTCATTCCACACCGACAAACGCTAACAAACAGACAGCACACAACACGTTCATCAAGTGTTTTTTGGATCGGTGTGTTAATCCTGTCTTTTTCGACGATTGAACATGAGAGAAATCGAAATTATAATGCCTGAAATGTAACGTGCTCTATGTTGCTGTCTGTCGGCGCGTTGTGAATTTGCTTAACCTGTAATTAACGTTACACTGTATGTTAAAATCCGAGTGAACAGTTCAGTCTGTTCTTAACTATTCACCAATTAACTTTGATATTTATTTTAAACCGTAAACATGTATCATGCCATTCGCACTACCTGCATTTGATTTTCGATTCATTTTTATTTCAGGCCGAGTAATCTGATGAAGATCGACTGAGTGCTAACGTAAGTTAATCATAAATAGCCTTACAGTTATAATTCACCTGTTAACAGAAATTATGTGGTGCCAGTTCTGTGATTTTAATCGGTTTTATCATAGTGACTACAATGATGACATTCAAGGATCTGTTGCAGGCTTTCACTTTGAGCCAGGGAATACATTGGCATCAAATGAAGTGACCGTAAAGGGAACACTTTACAAAAAGAACCTGCATGTAATTTTGCAGAACAATGATGAGGGAATTGTATTTGGGAAAATTCAGTTAATTCTTGTTCATGACAATTCCAGTGTGTATTTTGTCACACACAAATGTCAGTCGTTTTGTCTCGTAGACCAGGGAGTTCATTGCTTGACATCTCAAGATAAGGGCTACTTGTGCATAAACCAAGAGAGCTTACTGGATTACTATCCTCTTCCTGAATACTCTCTGTGTGCCTTGTCAGTAATAGTTCTCCACCATTCTTTCCCAATTCTAGAATAATGTCTGGATTGAAAGATGCAGTACTGTCGGTGTTGCCAAGCCTATCTCCAGATGTTACCAGTCAACTGGTTGAGAAGCTCATGGATCAGGGAGTTGAGGGTTTGGATGATTTGATTCATGTAAAGGAAGATGACATTTTGGAGTTCATACGACCTATCCGATGCAGAAAACTTCTTGGTGCCGGGAAAAATCAAGGTAAAGATAAGGTTGTTTAATAAAAAAAAAAAAAAAAAAGTGATCATTTAAAATGTTACATTGCATTGCAGTACTTTTTATGACAAATTTTTTTAATGTATATAATTTACAGAAAATCAAAACCAAACTGTGGTTTTGCAACCGGTTGAGGTTCTCCCATTGGTTCCCTCTGAAGCCAGCACTACTCCTGATGCACCTCCATCAAGCTCCTCAAGCACATCAGCAAGCAGTCCAGGATCAACCGGTGTTTCACATTCATGGCCTGAAAATTTGAAAGTTTCCTGGAACTTAATGCCTGCAGGTATACAGAGTGCTATTGAGAATGGCCACAGACCTTCCCCAGCTGACAGACGACAAATGATTGCGAAAAGTCTTGAAGTTAAGCGTCAAAAGATGGAGGAGATACATCGTCATGAGGGAATCTCTGGAGCACAAAGAGGGGACGTTTGGAAACTCATGGAGGAAACCTATTGCTTCCAGCGTCAGATGATCAATGAAACCCCATCCCCTACAATTGCAGATTTAAGAACCAAATGGCCGTATCTCTTCACACAAAGGCATATATATGGCCATTTTGAGATGCTTACTGACAAAAAAAGTGCTCCGACTTTTGTAATTGTCTATTCAGGAGGGTGGACCAAAAATGTTCCAGTTTTTTTTAAAGACAAACCAACTGAGGAAGTTCGGAATACACTCTCCAGTGGTGAAAATTGCAGATTTAAGAACCAAATGGCCGTATCTCTTCACACAAAGGCATATATATGGCCATTTTGAGATGCTTACTGACAAAAAAGTGCTCCGACTTTTGTAATTGTCTATTCAGGAGGGTGGACCAAAAATGTTCCAGTTTTTTTTAAAGACAAACCAACTGAGGAAGTTCGGAATACACTCTCCAGTGGTGAAAATGTCACTGCTATGGTCCTACAACTACTACTTGCACACTTCAAAGAGAAATTAGATGGTCTTATCCTTCAGACAGATGTAAGTAGAGATTATTTAACACGTCACATTCATTTGCAGCATGTTTTATCTTTTGGTTCTGTTGATGACGGTCGTACAGTTTTTTTTTTTTTTTAAGGAATTCGCAGCACCTTCAGATGTCCAGCAATCTGTACCTTTGCCAGAGAGTCCACGCCTTATAATTCTTGGTAAGTAAACCTTAAAGCGATACTTCAGGCAGGAAACAAAATTACCCCATGTTTTCCAGATGCACTGTATGTTTAGTGGAATTGTGATTTTCAAGTTAAGCTGATTTAAAGGTTTAGTTCACCCAAAAATGAAAATTCTGTCATTAATTACTCACCCTCGTTTTTGTTCGAAACCCGTAAGACCTTCGTTCATCTTCGGAACACAATTTAAGATATTTTTGATGAAATATGAGGGCTGTGAGGCAGTGTGTGGCATGACCCAGATCTGGCGTAATGACGCCCTCACGCCGGCTCTGGGTCAGCGCCGCCACACGCTCGTGTCATGGTTCTGTCGTGAACGCACACTCACAAGTGACACTGTAGAGACGAAAATGTGGAATAAAGTCATTATTTTTGTTTCCTTTGCGCAAAAAAGTATTTTCGTTGCTTCGTAACTTTACAGTTGAACCACTGATGTCACACGGACTACTTTGTCGATCATCTTGGAACTTTTCTGGACCTTGAACGTGGTAGTTACCTTGCTGTCTATGGGAGGGTCAGAGATTCCTCATGTTTCGTCAAAAATATCTTCAATTGTGTTCCGAAGATGAACGAAGGTCTTACGGGTTTCGAACAACACGAGGGTGAGTAAATAATGCCAGAATTTGCATTTTTGGGTGAACTAACCCTTTAACTAACTTTAGCATTACCTCCATTTTACCAATGAAGCTGTTACTTTAAATAGGAAAGAGCTTTTTTTTTTCATTTTCAGGTCAGTCTCTAAGCAACCAGCGGTGGATGTTGAGCGTGGAAGGGTAGGTTGTGTGTGAAGGAGAGCAGCCCAACATTGTATCTGGTCTTGCAGCACTGTTTGCCTCATTCTACAATTTTAACCTCCAGTATCAGGAAGAGGCAGCATGCACCTTGAGTTTTGTTCAGAGGTTAGACACTTACGCATTTGCCACTCTTATACACCAAAACCATTTTCAGAGGTTTACACCCACCTGACTTTATATGAATCGTAAACTTTTGAGCAGCACTGTATGTTCAAATTAATTTAGTCACTAACCTTTTCTTTAGAGTATTCAGAAATGACAGTATTCATTCACAAAGGTTTAATAGTTTATTGATCACATCACATATGTAACATTATCATAGTCCTGTGTGCAATAAACACATTGCAGGGGTTGCAATTCACTTACATAAAGTTACTAAGGTTTGAAAGAAATCCCCACAATGCCTTTTTGTAAAAAGCAGAATATGCTCTACATAAGATGGTTGTCTTTGAGGATGACAATATCATTAAAAAACTGGGTGATGAGTACTCAACTGGGTGATGAGTACATAAAACATTTCACATGTAATCTTAACACAAAAGATTGAGGACACATGTTGTTGTGATCCAGTGCACAATACAGCTCAGATTTCCCCACAAAATCTGACAACAGCTGAAAGTGTAGAAAGCATCTCTATCTGATATTTTGATATACTATACGTTTATGCTATTTTCATTTTTGAGACTGCTTAATGTGAGTTGCAGCCCTAACGTCCAGATTTCCATTTTGAACGGAAAGTTTTTTTTATACAGAATGTTGATCTTCCCCAGTTAACAACTGTTTACACCAAATATTACAATTCAATTGCACTATTACTTATTTTGGAAAACAAAGAAATATTCATTGTAAATTGAAGATTTCTTCAATTATTTATCACCACAACACACAAAAGTTCATCACATTTGTATTCATGTTATGCAGCCTTGGTTGAGTACCTGAAAGTACACACAAGTATGTGATTTTTTTTTTTTAATAGCAGAATATAGTTTACGAAGACAAAATGCAAAGTTTTGTTTAGTTCCATGTTTTCTCAGTGGAGTGCGATGACTGTAGTATAAAATTGCGATTTCGGTGTGATAACTATATCCAAACAAATCCTTGAAACACATCTGGTTGACAATTGCACTATTACTTAGTTATTTTGGAAAACAAAGAAATATTCATTGTGTAAAATAACAAGATTTCTTCAATTATTTATCACCACAACACACAAAAGTTCATCACATTTGTATTCATGTTATGCAGCCTTGGTTGAGTACCTGAGAGTACACACAAGTATGTGATTTTTTTTAATAGCAGAATATAGTTTACGAAGACAAAATGCAAAGTTTTGTTTAGTTCCATGTTTTCTCAGTGGAGTGCGATGACTGTAGTATAAAATTGCAATTTCGGTGTGATAACTATATCCAAACAAATCCTTGAAACACATCTGGTTGAGAGAGAGAGAGAGAGAGAGATAAAAATAGCCATAAACATAATAGTAATTTTTGTTGTTTGTTTTCTGCCTTGTAGACGCTTTCTCGACATCAACCCGGAACGTGGATCAGAAACCAAGAAAGGGAAGGTGACTTCAAAGAAGACTGGCCAAGTTGTGCAAAAAAAGAACACTACTGTGAACCCACAGGTTTCCTCTCTTCTGAGAAAACTTGCAGACTTCGAATGGAATTTCGTTTAGACACTTCCACTATCCACTGCAATTGGACTAAAAGGAAATAAGGTTCCTGCATTGTTAATTGCAATACAAAAGTACAGCTGGCATTTCCGCCAACATGTTTATGTAATGCATTTTTTCCCCTCCTGACTTTCTTCTTCTTTTTTTTTATTTTTTATTTTTTTTGCATAATTTTTAAATATTTTAAAACCTTTCCATTCGTTGAAAGTTAATTAGAGCTCTGTTCTGTTAACTGTTAAGTGCATTTATTTCATACAGCTGACATTTCAGCCAACATGTTTATATAAGGCAATTTTCTGGCCTTTGCTCTTAAGAAATAAACGTTTTAAATTCTAACAATTTTGTTTTCTATTTCCATTTGAGGCTACTGTTATGGAAAGAGTAATATTTTCCTTGTTTTAAGGAAAACAATATTCATACAAATACAATTTATTGCAATATATAACATGTAATATTGTAAAATTAAGTGGCATAACAGTAGAATACAGTACTAAGTCATAGTTCTGTAAAAGTACAATACTTTGCTGGTAACCCAGCTGCCAGTATGTAAATTGACTGAAAAGATTTACAGTACACACTGTAAAAAAAAAGCCAGTATGTAAATTGACTGAAAAGTTTTACAGTACACACTGTAAAAAAAAAAAATACAGCAAGATACTGTATCTGGCAATTACAGTACAATACTGTAAATGTTGTTTACAGTTGTGGTTCTGTAAAAATACAGAATGTGGCTGGCAACCTAGCTGCCAGTATTTTACTGTAAATTTACAGGGAAAAGTTTTACAGTGTGAGTGAAGTTGCAAAATGTTGGCAAAATAGTCTCAATGGTGTGTTCTGCTTGTGCTGTAAAAATGTTTGTGCTGCTTCGGTTTTTTAGATTTAAAAAAAAATATTTATAGGTCATTCTGAGGCCGCTCAGTCCCCACGTGCTCCAAATTCACCCCAAAATAGTATTGTTTGTTTGTTTGTTTGTGCCAATAAAAGTTTATTTTGTGGTGCTTTGGATTTTATATTGCATACAACTGTATGTTATAAATGAAGCATGCAGTGATTATTCAATTTGCATTCCCACAGGCAAAACCGTGCGTGAGAAAGCAGGAAAAAAAGTGGATTCTGAGGACATGGAACCTTTCAGGGCAACAGACACTGTCGAACCAGAGGATAACTCTGTTATACTGAGGCTTATCTCACTCTGCTAGTGAGGCTGGGAAAACTCACATCAGCACCGGAGCTCCTCAGGGCTGCGTTCTCTCCCCACTGCTCTTCTTCCTCTACACAAATGACTGCACCTCTAACCCCTCTGTCAAGCTCCTGAAGTTTGCAGACGACACCACAGTCATCAGCCTCATCCAGGACGACGACGAGTCTGCTTACAGACAAGAGGTTGAGCAGCTGGCTGTCTGGTGCAGTCACAACAACCTGGAGCTGAACACGCTCAAAACTGTAGAGATGATAGTAGACTTCAGGAGGAACCCCCCTGCTCTCCCCCCACTCACCATCATGGACAGCCCTGTGGCTGCAGTGGAGTCATTCAGGCTCCTGGGTACAACCATCTCTCAGAACCTCAAGTGGGACTGTTAGGACAGCAGAAAGAATCATTGGTGTGCACCTGCCCAGTCTTCAGGACTTGTACAACTCCAGAGTGAAGAAAGGGGCAGGTAACATCATCAAAGACCCCTCTCACCCCGGACACAACCTGTTTGCACTTCTCCCTTGAGGCAGACGCTACAGATCTCTGTGCACTAGAACATCTAGGCATAAAAAGTTTTTTTTTTCCCCCCATGCCATCTCCAGCTTAAACAGCTAACAAATTAATCATTACCTGTGTTCCATAATTCATTCTACATCCTTAATTATTGCCTCTTTCTCAAGTATTATGTAAATACATATGCATATCTTTATTTATACAGTTCTATATAGAGTAAATGATGCACAAATCTGTACATAAATCTACTGTTCCAGATTATTTATTGTTAAGTTTTTACTATTTAAATGTTTTTCTTTTCTGTTCTCATGTATGTATGTACCAGGAGCACCTTAAAAAAAACCCTCAACAAGTTCCTCGTGTGTTTGCACACCTGGCGAATAAAGCTAATTCTGATTCTGATAACTCCAGGGAGACAGAAGAATGGCGAAAAACACAAATGAATTTTCGACAATTTGCAATCTCTCTCTCTCTCTCAAAAGATAAACATGGAATACAATATGTCCATTACTGGGATCTACAAAGCTAAGGCAGCCATGGAGCCATCCTCTATGAAGCTTTCAAGCAAAAAAAATCCTTGCTGCACACTGTCGTTCAAAAATATCAACACATCAAACCCTTGCAGAGTAGGAAAAAGAACGCTCCATACACCCATTTAAATCCTGCAATGCCAAATATATCTTAAAAATTCAAAACAAACAATCCAAATTCATCAATAGTGTGAGGAATATTGGTCACTCAGAAAGGTAAAATTCAGCACAAAATGAGTGAGGAAAAACTTTAGGCCAGCAAGTCACATAAAAAGAAGCAAAATTGCACGATTGCTCATCCATGGGCCCAGTCAGTATTTCTACAGAAGGCTAAGTTCAACACCCACAGAAGAGCTGTTGGCTGGAAATATGACCAGCTGTCTCAACAAAAATGTCCTGAAAACAATAAGATCAGAGGTAAGGAAAAACAGCAACTTGCCCAGTGACATACTGATTGATGTGCACATCACACAGACAACTTTAAGACAATTTATTACAGAATACCTGGCTGCATCCAACATTTCAGTATGGACCCTTTTGGTGTCCATTTATTTACCGAAATGGGTATCTGCATACTTGTTGAACACTTAAGAAATAAGTCTCCTGTCACCCTCTATCTTGATGCCACAGGGGGACTGGTTTCAAAAATCCCTAATCAACCGAAAAATGTGCTGTACTACTCCCTTATGCTCCCAGGAGGGGGTCGGGATGCACCACCTCTCCCAGTCTTTGAAATGCTATCAAATGAACATTCAGTTCCCCCCATTACATTCTGGCTCATGCAGTTTACACTACATTTATCAAGATATACACAAATCCACATCCAGCAAGTGGAAACAGATTACAGCTGGGCTTTAATGCAAAGTGTTTTGCTTGCATTTAACAAAGAGAATATACATTCATATCTTGACAGAGCATATGCCATTTGTCAGGACCAACATTTGTTTGAGGAAGCAAAAGGATTCACTGTTCTGCACATCTGCTCTGCCCATGTTTTAAAAGCAGTCCGTAAGGCAATGCTCAGGCAGACAGATGATAAGGGTCTGGTAGAGTTTGCAACATTTTGCTTTGCCAGATTGCAGAACTCAAGCACTATGCCTGAGGCCACACAGATCTTCAGGTCATTATGTATTGTTCTCACAACAACTCGATACACAAAAAGTGTTCAAGAAAGTGTTTGTGCTTTGGTTTCCCTAATCACAAAATCAAAAGACAAACCCACTGGAGGAAAACAAAAAGAGGAACTTTGAAGAAAAACAACATGCAAACTCTATCATGGGCAGTTCAAGCTTCTCTTATTTCCAGAGGGTGTTGGAAGAGACTAGGGAGCAGGCAACACATGACATTTCTGAATATAACAATCCATACTTTTGTCCAGGGACCATTACCATGTTATTTGAGACATATATTGGAATTTTTCCAATGTGGAGTGGCTTGCTCCTGGGGGACCTTAAAAGACATGCCTCAATCCTCTCTCATGCAGTAGCAGAAAAGACATGGGACACCAACTGTCATGTAGAGAAGTGGTTCGGCATTGTCAAACATTCCATCACGGCCAAAAGGAAAAAAATGACACCAGGAACATTTATCAGAAAAAGGTTCACATCCCTACAAGGCCGCTACAAAGAGCATGTAATCCAGAACAAACTGTCCCAAGGTTTACTGCTCAAGCCTGCATCAGTGGGCGGTGGAGAACCCCAGGAATCATGGATGAGGTAACAGACAAGGTTCCCGGCAAAAAAATCTAAATTCTACTCTGCGCCCAACAGAGTGCCAGTCCCCCACAAAAAAAGGAAAAAAAAACATTTCTGTTTCACCAACAGCTATGAAGAGAGAGAAACAAGACCCTGCATGTGATCCCTGTAATGTTCCTCCAGATGTCCCCATTTCAGAGAAAGAAGTAAGACTATTAATATTACGTACTATAAAAATTACCCAAAAAGCACTATAAACAGTTAAGCAGAAAGATTATTTTATCATTTATTTTAATTGGATATTTAATTTAAGATAATTTATTCAAGTTTGTCATTGTAGGTTGACGTGTTGTGGACAAGTAAACCAACGGAGCTGATCGTAGCCATTCTGCAGGACCCAAAAGAAAAAACAGTACCTGCTCCATCACAGTACTTTCCAGACACTGAAGCCCCATGAATGGTTATTTGGTGAGGTATGCTCATCATGACAATATTTTTTTATATATATATATATACACACACACACACACACACGAGTAAAAAAAAAGTATAGCAAATAGCTTTTGGGACAAAATCAGGGTAATTTCAGTTTAAATATTGCCATTTTTCTCTTTTCTATTGGATTCAGGCAATAGAGAGTTACATCCGAGCCGTTCATAACACAAAGGGTTCAAATTCTCACCTATACCAACTAAGTCATTACATCACAGGAGTAATGCTGTATGGTACTAGAGAGCAGCTGGTACGACAAGGTTTACAAAAAGTAATTCCGGAATTGTTTTTGAGTCTTTACATCAACACAAATAACTGCTTGAATTTATATCCTTTTATGATACAGGTAGACTTTGAGAAGTACGATGGGGTGATTTCTTTCGTAAATATAAACAATCATCACTGGAAGTTAGTGCTAAGTTGTCAAACCATTACAAACTAGTAACATTATACTGGACATTTGTTTTATTATGATGATTCTTCATTATTATTATTAATTCAGAATTGTTTATCCTATAGTTCCTACATGCTACATCTGAAACAATCTTTGTGCTTGACCCTCAACAAGGTGCTACTGAAATGGAGGAAGCCAAACAAAATAAAGACAAGACCTTGAAAACCTAAAGATAACCTTACTGAAAACTAGAAAGAAAAAGAACAAAATCAAAAGGTTAAAAAATTTAAATAAAGAACCAAACCACAAAGACTGTAACTACACTATTGACTAAACACGGGAACAAATTAATTAACAAGAGATAAACTAGATTGGATGCAATATACTGAATAGCACGCGCTAACAAGACTAAAGACACTAACAAATAGAACGCGCACACACAAAACAAACCAGCAAAGACCAGAGGGAAATGAGCACAATATAAAGGGAGCAGCACACGAGGATTAGGTGAAAACAATTGGGCAAACAAGGACTAAACAAGGGGGCGTAGTGATTGAAAACGAGAAGGCAGGACAAGAGGAGCACGTGGCCAACACAAACAAAGACACAGCCATGTGCTCAGGCACAAAATAAACAAAGACACATTAAACAAAGACAGGACAGACAAGACTGTCAGGGCAGGATCCTGACACGAAATCCACGAACAACTTTTCAAATCCAGCCGCTGCTTTTAAACCAGAGCCATAACACGCTTTTCCTCCTGCTGATCAGTCGACTTCCTATAGTCTTCACCATGATAAATAAAAATACAAAGCAAACAACAAAAATAAAAAACAACCCATTCAAGTCCATCGAAAAGTTTGTTTGACCTTCTTTGGCGCACAGATCTGAGTTGACTTGAGAGCATAAATACATTATTCACCCTCTAGTGGTGTGAAAGAAAATTACAAACAACCAAAAAATGGCTCCTACAGTGAGCAACCTCTCATTAAATTGACAGTGTCTCGTGTGAAAGCTGTGAAAATGATCAATAAACAACCTGAAATTCCCTTAAAAAAACAACAACCTCATACATAAATCATAGTACACTTACCCAGCCTCAGTGTGGACGAGAGAGCTAGTGGCCTGAGGCAGTAGTGTTTCACCAGGGCCCATATTCACAAAACATTTTATCTTACCACTAAGAGTTCTCCTAATGGTACCTTTTGGGGTAGGCCTACAACAGCTACCCAGCCTGAGTGCGGACGAGAGAGCTAGGGGCCTGAGGCAGTAGTGTTTCACCAGGGCCCGTAATCACAAAACATTTTATCTTACCACTAAGAGTTCTCCTAAATAGCAGTAAATGTTTTGAGCTTGAGTTGCTGAGACAAACTTTTACTAAGAAATAGAGAGAAGTCTTAAGCTTAGAGTAAAGGCTTGTTGCTATGGATGATGTCAGCATGCTTAAAAGGGTCATATGACGCTGTTAAAAATAACATTATTTTGTGTATTTGGTGTAATGAAATGTGTTTATGCGGTTTGAGGTTAAAAAAACATTATTTTCCACATAATGTACATTATTGTTTCTCCTCTATGCCCTGCCTTTCTGAAAAGCATCGATTTTTACAAAGCTCATCGGTCTGAAAAGCGAGGTGTGCTCTGATTGGCCTGCTATCCAGTGCATTGTGATTGGCCGAATACCTCAAACGTGTGACGGAAATGTTACACCCCTACCATATTGTGATGCCCTGTCCGGCCAGGGCGACGAGACAAAAACCTGAAAACCCATTATAAACGAGGCATTTGTTGCATCCAGTGGGGACATAATTACTGATTATAATGACTTCTACTGTCTTTTTATGTATATGACATATGTAGTTTAGGTTACTTTTATATATATATATA